AAAAAAAAATAATAAAACAAAAACTTATGGCTAACAATAAATTAATTAGTTGATCAGTTGCTAATAAAGGAGTTACCCATATTTCCCATTATAAATAATCACCCTGGATGACAACCCCATTTTTCATCTTAGGAATGTTTAATATTGTTTAATATTTGAACATAAAGTTGAAGGGAGTACATTTTATCAAATGCACTTACAGAACAATATCACTGGGCTGCATTGGTTTGAAATCCGATTACACTACAGGCCAGATGAACAGAGCAGGAGTAGTGGATATCTTTAGTACAGATAGATAAAAGAACTAATGCGAGTTTGTGTGACGCTTTCAGCTTCGTAGCACAACGACTCCTCTGGTTAAATATAGCCGGGCTGTTCGTACAGATAAAAAAATATTCTTCACAGTATCTTTTCATCACATCCATGCATGTCATTTTAAGTCATCCATATCACACCTCAAATGGCACTTCATAAAATAAAACAGAATTAAATTAACTGTGAGGGGAAAAAAGGGATTTATTTTCATTGACATTGTAGGCATAGGATCACACTCAAGGAATTAGTGTAGCAAGAGGAAGTAGGCTGCTGCCGTTGGTCTGAATGAAAACTTCTAATAGTCTTTGGGCTGCGTCGTATTAAACGTTTGCACAATACCACAAATGCACATGGGAAGTACAAAACCAATTATTGACAGATGGAGACCACAAACGTTTGGAAATGTGATCCTGAAATGATGTCGTTTCACAAGGAAAAGCACGAGCAAATCTATTTTCGACCTAATTTTCCCTTTTTTTCCCCAAAAAAGCAGATACAGGTAAACATACATATAAAAACCTTATCGTCTGACACTATGCAAAGTTGGCAAATCTGTCAAAGAACCAAACAACACAATAAAACGGCGGAGTCGAACACGGTTTTATTGACAGGCAACATATTCAGAGGCAGCTCAACCAGGAGTCCCAAACTTACTTGCAGCAGTACAGTAGTATTAATACCGATTGGCGTTTGATTTTAGGAGTAGTAGAAGTAAATCAAGCAAGAGTCCAAACTCCCTGTTTGACTCACCGTCTCCAGGAGACCCTTTTCAAGTCTGATTGTTAACCAACCGTAAAGTGCTTTCAAAAAATAATGTCCTCCTCATATTCATCTGATTCACGTATACAACAAGTCGGTTTATCGATCCGGTAGAAGTTAGGAATAGGAAAGAAATGAGAGGAATAATTAAAAAGGGTCTATTCAGGCACGAGCAGAGAGCTCTTTTTGTTTCCACCTCCTCTGTCCTTTCCCTCGAATACTTTCCTTCTCCTTTCTGGGGCTGTTTTATTTCTTGAAAGGTGTCAGTCTCCCGATATTGTGCCAGAAGGTGGTTTTGCGCTTGGGTTCAGCCAGCATGAAGACCTGCTGCTGGGGCAAGGCGGTGGGCAGGGAGGGGTGCTTCTGTCGGAGGAGGAAGTCGCAATAAGGTCTGGTCACCGCTGAGAAGGAGAGAGGAAGACAACAGAATATTTACTTAGTTAGGATTTTCTTTATTAAGTTAGACATTTGCCGTTATCAAATAAGTATGGCTCATTTCTCCTAACTATTGCATTCTAAAATACTGTTAAAATGTTCCTTTTTGACATGATGAATAACTGGCTGCTCGAAGCTGGCGGAAAATAATTAGCCCCTTTCCAATAAAAGATGTGGTGACTGTTTAAGGGTCATTCAATCTGGACAGCTCGCCAGTCCATCGCGGGGCCATACAGACACAAACAACCACACACACTCACATACATTTGCATGCGTGCAATCGACTTTACATGCATGTTTTTGGGCAGTGGGGGAAAGCCGGAACAGACAAAGGGAGAACTGACATGCCAGCCTGTTAGTTCCTGCAGGAATGAGCCAATTTGATACATTCCTGTAGCTAAAGAATGAAGTTAACCCAGTTCCACTTACATACCCATGCTACATGTTGTTTATATTAGATGCAAAACGTTAAAGTGTTTAAAAGTCTGATGGCAGACCAAGTCTGGAGAAAATGTGTGACAGGACCATAAAGTCCTGGCTACAGGCTGTAGGACATGTGGGGGGTGAATCCTGAATGATTAACTTCTGCCCTGGAAAAGGCTTTTTTAAATTCTATTTTTTATATGCTACTAATGACTCTATCAAATTCTATCAAAATATTCCACCCTTAAAATCCCCCTTAAAAGCGTACCTTTGGGTTTCCCAGCCGGATGGCTTTTGCAGGCGTTGAGCATGGCCTGTTTCTTCTGGACCTCAGTCAGAGTGAAGCCTGCAAAAACAAAATTAAACAAAATTTGAAGCTTTTTCATTTAAATCAGTAAATAAAATCTCATTCCATCCCTCCCCATATACAGTGGGAAAATAAGAAATAAGTATTTGACCCCTTTGCTGATTTTGCAGGTTTGCCCACTTACAAAGAATGCAACGATGTATAACTTTAATCATATGTACATTCTAACAGTGGAAGGCAGAATCCCAAAGGAAATTCCAGAAAATCACATCATATGAATTTATAAAAAATTGATAACCATCTGATGAGGAAAAATAAGCCTTCTTTGTAAGTGGGCAAA